ACATTCTAGACTGGCAAATGTAATTGCATGAACCTTGAATATATTGGGGGAAAAAACAGCCATTTAACACATATTTGTGTGTTACCCCTAAAAGGGTTCTGTGGAACATTAAGGACTTTCTGGTTTGAAAGTTTGAAATCTCTTGGATTATGTGAGGCTGCATCTATTAAAGGCCTTCTCTCAGCCAGGTGCGGTGGCTCAGGCCTGTAATCCTAGCACTTTGGGAGGCCGAGGCGGGCGGATCACAAGGTCAGGAGATCGAGACCACGGTGAAACCCCGTCTCTACTAAAAATACAAAAAATTAGCCGGGCGCGGTGGCGGGCGCCTGTAGTCCCAGCTACTCAGGAGGCTGAGGCAGGAGAATGGTGTGAACCTGGGAGGCGGAGCTTTCATTGAGCCGAGATCGCGCCACTGCACTCCAGCCTGGGCGAAAGAGCGAGACTCCGTCTCAAAAAAAAAAAAAAAGGCCTTCTCTCTATGTATTAGTTGGGGGAAAAGATAGCTTTAACTTTTTAAAAATTCTTTAAGCTCCCAAGTGCTTGGAAACCTTAGCTTTAAATAAATACACAACTTTTTATTATGGAAAATTATGGAAGAATTCCAGTACAATGTATACAAATAAAATAGTGTAATGAACCTATAAATCACCCAGCTCGAATAATGACCAACAATTTGCTAATCTTGTTTTATCTAACTCTCTCTCTCTCTCTTTTTTTTTTTTTTTTTTTTGAGGCAGAGTCATGCTCTGTGGCCCAGGCTGGATGCAGTAGCACAATCTCAGCTCACTGCAGCCTTCCCCTGCTGGGTTCAAACCCTCCTCTCATCTTGGCCTCTCAAGTAGCTGGGACTACAGGTGTGCACCACCACGTCCACCTCATTTTTGTATTTTTGTAGAGATGGGGTATCGCTGTGTTGCCCAGGCTGGTCTTGAACTCCTGAACTCAAGTGATCTGCCCACCTCGGCCTCCGAAAGACTGGGATTACAGGCTGTGAACCACTGCTGTTGGTGTAACTCTCTCTTTTGCTGAAGTATTTTAAAGCAAATCCCAAACATACAGAATATTATTTGATCCCTGGATACTTTATTTATTTATTTATTTTTTTTTTTTTGAGACGGAGTCTCGCTGTGTCACCCAGGCTGGAGTGCAGTGGCGCGATCTCGGCTCACTGCAAGCTCCGCCTCCCGGATTTACGCCATTCTCCTGCCTCAGCCTCCGAGTAGCTGGGACTACAGGCGCCGGCCACCACGCCCGGCTAGTTTTTTGTATTTTTAGTAGAGACGGGGTTTCACCATGTTAGCCAGGATGGTCTCGATCTCCTGACTTCGTGATCCACCCGCCTCGGCCTCCCAAAGTACTGGGATTACAGGCTTGAGCCACCGCGCCCGGCCCCCTGGATACTTTATTATAAATCTCAATGACTTTAAAAATAAACTATAATGCCATTATCATACCTAACAATGTTCCTTAATATCTTATGTCTAGTGCATGTTCAAACTTTGCCAGATGCTTAAGAATTTTCATAGTTAATTTGCTTAAATCAGTATCCACACAGAGTCTATATGTTGCATCTTTTTGGTCTTGTTTCAGTTTTTTAAAGTCTCTTTTAATTTTTAAAGAAAGACCCCTTTCTTTTTTTAAATGCTATTTGTTTATTGACAAAACTATTTTTGTCAATTCTATATTTGTTATATAGAATTTCTCATATTCTGAATTTGGTTAATTGTTTCCTGGTGGTGGTTGACTTCTTTTTTTTTTTTTTTTTTTTTGGAGACGGAGTCTCGCTCTGTCGCCCAGGCTGGAAGTGCAGTGGCCGGATCTCAGCTCACTGCAAGCTCCGCCTCCCAGGTTTACGCCATTCTCCTGCCTCAGCCTCCCGAGTAGCTGGGACAACAGGCACCCGCCACCTCGTCCGGCTAGTTTTTTGTATTTTTTAGTAGAGACGGGGTTTCACCGTATTAGCCAGGATGGTCTCGATCTCCTGACCTCGTGATCCATCTGTCTCGGCCTCCCAAAGTGCTGGGATTACAGGCTTGAGCCACCGCACCTGGCCTGACTTATTCTTGAAACGTTTTTTTTTTTTTCAGGAACACTTCCTAATGGTCCTTCCTGTTGCATCACATCAGGAGGTCCATAACGTCTGGTCATCCACTTTTAGTGATTAGAATAAGTAGTTGTCAGTTTTTTTTTTAAATTGTTACACACAGAGTATAGTTCACACATCTCAAGTGTACAGGTTGGTGAATTTTAACACAGTATGCATGTATAACCACTACCCAGGACATTTTCAGCATCTTAGAAGGTTCTCTTGTGCCCTCCCTTAATTATCCCCCAGCCCCAAGGTAACCAGTATTTTGGCTTTTATCACCTAGATTCGTTTTGTAGAATAGGGCATTTTCGTTCCTTCTCTTTGGGATTGGCTATTTTTGTTGATAAAATGTTTTTAATTTTTTTTTTTTTGAGACGGAATCTTGCTGTCACCCAGGCTGGAGTGCAGTGGTACGATCTTGGCTCACTGCAACATCAACCTCCCCGGTTCAAGCGATTTTCCTGCCTCAGCTTCCCAAGTAGCTGGGATTACAGGTGCCTGCCATCATGCCCGGCTAATTTTTTGTATTTTTAGCTGAGACGGGGTTTTATCATGTTGGGCAGGCTGGTCTTGAACTCCTGACCTCAGGTTATCTTCCCGCCTCGGCCTCTCAAAGTGCTGGGATTACAGGTGTGAGCCACTGCACCTGGCCCAAATGTTTTTAAATCTTTGACATAATTTCTAACTTACAGAAATATACAAATAGTACAGTTCCTGTATACCTTTGTCCACACAGTCTTACATTGATAAAGCAAATCTCACCATTTGCTTTATCATTTATTGTCTTTCCCTTTTATCCCCTCCCTCCTGTGTGTGTGTGTGTGTGTGTGTGTGTGTGTGTGTGTGTGTATGTGTATTATATTTCCTTTTTCCCAAGCTCTTTTAGAGTAAATTACAGGCATAATGTTCTTTACCTTTTTTTTTTTTTTGAGATGGAGTCTCGGTGCAGTGGCACGTTCTCAGCTTACTATAAGCTCCGCCTCCCGGGTTCACACCATTCTCCTGCCTCCCTCCCAAGTAGCTGGGACTACAGGCACCCGCCACCACGCCTGGCTAATTTTTTGTATTTTTAGTAGAGATGGGGTTTTACTGTGTTAGCCAGGATGGTCTCGATCTCCTGACCTCGTGACCCGCCCTCCTCGGTCTCCCAAAGTGCTGGGATTACAGGCTTGAGCCACCGCCCCGGCCAATGCTCTTTACCTTTAAAAATAAGGACATTCTCTTACATACCCATAGTACAATTTTTGAGATCTGGAAGTCAGCATTGATATAACACTATTAGCCAATTTACAGACCTTATTCAGATTTCATCAATTGTTCTGATAATGTTCCTTATAGGAAAAGAAAATGGTAGAGTGTGAGTTTTGATTGTCATGTCTTTTTAGTTTTCTTTAAAGAATGACTGAGAAATGGTTCCTTATTCTTTTACGGCCTCGAAAACCTTGAAAATTTTTATGAATATGGGCCACTTATTTTATATAATGTCCCTCAATTTGGGTTTGTTTGATGTTTCCTCATAATTCAATATGGGTTATGCATTTTTGCCTGGCATATCCCAGAAATGAAGTATCTTAGCAGAGGCATTTGATGTCAATGTGTCCCATAATTGTGATGTTAACTTTGATCATCTGATTAAGGTAGTGTTGACCAAGTTTTTCCAGTGGAAAACTTTTTTCTGAACTCCGTTGTAAAATTACTATTTTTCCTTTTTTGATTAATATTCATCTGAGGCAAACCCTTTGAGATTGTGTAAATAATCCTGTTTTTCAAATGTTAGTACACTAGTTTTAGCTTCCATTTATGATTTTTACCTGAGTCAATCAGTTATTATTGAGATGGCTGCCCAAAGGATGATTTTCATCATTTTTTCTACATGTATTTATTATGTGTATATATATTTGTTGGGAAGTTTCCCCTGTTTTTCATTTATGTATGTATAGAATGATGTATTAATTTATCACTATAGATTAATGGATGTGTATTTTTATCAACCAAGATCTGGTAGTAAATGTGTTTACTGCTATTGGATCTGATTTTTTTTTTTTTTTTAAGATGGAGTCTCGCTCTGTTTCCCAGGCTGGAGTAGAGTGGCGCGATCTCGGATCACTGCAATTTCCACCCCCCAGATTCGAGCAATTCTCTGCCTCAGCCTCCCGAGGAGCTGGGATTACAGGCGCCTGCCACCGTGCCCAGCTAATTGTCTTGTATTTTTAGTAGAGTTGGGGTTTCACCCTCTTGGCCAGACTGGTCTTAAACTCCCAACTTCGTGATCCACCCACTTCAGCCTCCCAAAGTGCTGGGATGACAGGCCTGGGCCACCATGCCCAGCCTGATCTGATTATTTTTAGTAATGAGAATACTGGCTGGGTGTGGTGGCTCATGCCTGTCACCCCAGCACTTTGGGAGGCCGAGGTGGGCAGATCACCTGAGGTCGAGAGTTCAAGACCAGCCTGACCAACATGGAGAAACCCCGTCTCTACTAAAAATACAAAATTAACCTTTGTATTTTTGTATTTGCTTATATATGCAAAGAATGAATTCCTTCCTTTTTGGAAGGAGTCACAAGAAACTAGTAATATTGGTTACCTTTACAGAGTGAAACCTGAATGGTTGGAAATGGGAGTACGGTGGAGACTTTTCACTTATAAATCTTTTAATCTTTTTACTGAATTAATTAAAAGTTAAAAATTCACACACTGGAGGTCTAAAATTACTGAAACACGTGATCTGAATGTAAGAATTCTAATCAAACAGTTTTCTTAAGTAATACCTGGGCAGATATAAGGATATATGTTTTGGTTATCTTGGTAGATGACAGTAGTAGGAAAATTTGTAGAAAGTTGGCAACTTTCTTTGTATGCCATGATATGTGTACTTTAGTCTTAATGAATATTTTGTTTTCTTTTGGCAGCATGCATATGCACTAGAACTTCTATTTGATCAGTTGCATGAAGGAGCTAAAGCTCTTGATGTAGGATCTGGAAGTGGAATCCTTACTGCATGTTTTGCACGTATGGTAAGAGTTTTATTTCTCATTCTGGCCCCAACGGAAGAATATAATATGATTTGGCTGTATTTTTTTTTCACTAGTGGTTTTCATGTTTGTTTGTTTGTTTATTCTATTAGGATAGTGGTTGGAATGAGCATCACTTAGGATTTTGTTGTTGTTGCAAGTGACAGAACATGCAACCCAAACTGGCAGAGCTAAAAGGGAGTTTATTTAGTTTATATAACAGAAAAGTCTGGGGGTATATACGATCTTTTGTGTGGCTGGATTTAGAAGAGCAGATGTTATTATTGACAATAGGGTTCTCTCAGTTTCTTGGTTTGGCTTTACTTTCCTCCACATGTTGGTGCCATTATCTGGTAAGCTCTACCCTTGTAATCACAAGATGGTGGCCATTAGCTCCCAAACTACCTTCTTCCAAGTTCTCATTTGGCGGAAAAGAATAGAATGAGCCTGGTTTTCTTTTCTTTTCTTTTTTCTTCTTAAAAACAGAGGTTTTATTGCGTTTGGTCTACAGTTGGTATTTCACCTTATCTCATGGTGCAGGGACCCTGGGTAGGGGAATCTGTGTAGTACTTGGTGGGGCATGTGGCTGGGGGAGACAGGGCAGTATAGATGGTCAGGCCCAGAACGGTTTGAGAAGGAGGGCTGGGGACTCCTGAAAACCTACTGAGAGGCCAGACACGGTGGCTCACACCTGTAATCCCAGCACTTTGGGAGGCCTAGGCAGGTGGATCACATGAGGCCAGGAGTTCGAGACCAGCCTGGCCAATGTGGTGAAACCCCATCTCTACTAAAAATACAAAAATTAGCCAGGCATGGTGGAGCACTTGCAGTCCCATTTACTCAGGAGGATGAGGCAGGAGAATCCCTTCAACCCAGGAGGTGGAGGTGCAGTAAGCCTTGATTGTGCCACTACACTCCAGCCTGGACAACAACAACAAAAACCTACTGAGGTACAGTGTGGGGGGTGGGGTTAGCATGGAGAGGGGGTCAGGCTTAGCCCCGATAACTCAGAATTCTACTTCCTTGTTTGGGCCTCAGTTTTCCCACCGGGCCCTGCGACATGTCTGAGAGTCCCAGGGAAATCCAGCCACTCAGGAGCCTGAGATATTTAGCATCATAGCCGGGCCCCCTCTCCCAGGGGACTCATCTCCCAGCACCCTCTCCACTGTCCCTGCCGAGAATGAGCCTGGTTTCTAAACATTCCTACAGGTTTACCAGGATGAAGGTAGAACTTTTGCATTAGAAAAAGTGCTCTTAGAAAAATAATGCCTTGTTGTTATACTTCTGCCTTTTCTCATCAGAGCCTTATCTGGTCAATGGCTATCCAGAGTATTAACTGGGGACCCACTGATGTATGTTGGAGTAAAGGTTGATCTTTGCTTAGATCATCAAATCAGAGTGATTTGAGAAATATCGTGCCTGGAGGCCAGATTGGAAGATTCTGATCTAGTTAAATTGGGAGTTGTGGATCCACCTTGGACTAGAATCCATGTAACTTGCTATAAATGTATAGTCAGCAGACCTCCTAGAATGTAAGCTCCAGGGAGTTGGGCATTTTCTCTGCTCTTTGTTTTCATTGATGGTATCCTAAACATCTAAAACAATGCCTGGCACATAATAGGGACTCATATTTTCTCAGATGTTTTGCTCATTTTGTAGAGGTTAAGTCCTTATTCATGGGTATCAGTGATTTTTTTTTAAGATTAGAAATACCATTTAATAAATGACTCATTCTCTATACTTGACATGTTTATAGTTTTAGAGGATGTATTCATTTTAAAAACTCATTTGGTTCCTGAGTTATTTTTCATAAAATGGCATTAATGTTTTTCACACATTTACCATGTGTGAAAGTGCTTTGTGTTTTAAACACTAGTGCCTGTGTTCTAAGTGCCACCCCATTTTTATGATGGGGTATATGCCTTTTTCTTCCCCATTTTGTACTGAGGAACCTGATTCATAGAAGGAATGATTGGCCGGGTGTGGTGGCTCACACCTGTAATCCCAGCACTTTGGGAGGCCGAGGCAGGTGGATCACCTGAGGTCCAGAGTTCGAGACCAGCCTGGCCAACATGGTGAAACCCCCTCTCCACTAAAAATACAAAAATTAGCCAGGTGTGGTGGCACATGCCTGTAATCCCAGCTATTTGGGAGGCTAAGGCAGGAGAATTGCTTGAGCCCGGGAGACAGAGCTTGCAGTGAGCTGAGATCGTGCCACTGTACTCCAGCCTGGCCAATAAAGCGAGACTTTATCTCAAAGAAAAAAAAAAAGGAGAAGGAATGGTTAACTTGCCAAGGTATGTATGTATGCAAGTGATGACACTTAGACAAGAACCCAGATAGTCTGACTTCAAAGCCTTTATAAGGGTTACTTTTAAAAATTTTTATATTTTTTCAAAACAAATATACTTAATATTTTAATTTACAAATAAATAAATATGCAAAGAAGGGATTTTTGTTGTTGTTGCTTTTTGTTTTTTGTTTTCTGAGATGGTCTCACTCTGTCATCTAGACTGGAGTGCAGTGGCACGATCTCAGCTCACTGCAGCCTCTGCCTCCCAGGTTCAAGTGATCCTTGCACCATGTCAGCCTCCTGAGTAGGGGGACCACAGGCACATGACACCACACCTGGCTAGTTTTTGTATTCTTTTGTAGAGACGGGGTTTTGCCATGTTGCCCAGGCTGGTCTCGAACTCCTGGGCTCAAGTAGTCTATCTGCCTCTGCCTCCCAAAGTGCTGGGAATATAGATGTGAGCCACTGTATATATTTTCTTGTTTTCTACTAACAGCTGTAGAATCAAGTGTAGAAATTTCTTCCCATCAGGCGGGAGGCAGAGTATGTGGTGGCTCACTCCTGTAATCCCAGCACTTTGGGAGGCCGAGGCAGGCAGATCACGAGGTCAGGAATTTGAGACCAGGCTGACCAACATGGTGAAACCCTGTCTCTACTAAAAATACAAAAAAAATTAGCTAGGCATGGTGGTGCGCACCTGCAATCCCAGCTACTCAGGAGGCTGAGGCAGGAGAATCGCTTGAACCCGGGAGGCAGAGGTTGCAGTGAGCTGAGATTGCACTACTGCACTCCAGCCTGGGTGACAGAGCGAGACTCTGTCTCAAAAAAAGAAAAAAAAAAATTCCTCCCTGTCAAATTTATTATGTAACATTTTAATATTTAAAGTTATATTTAGATGGCATTTAAATAGAAAATTATTGTACTACTATTAAATATTGGTAATTTTCTTCAAAGTTCTGGATTTAATCTAAGAAAGTAATTTTTCTTAGTATTATAAGTTTTATTCAATGGGAGTGATGGTTGAGAAAGGTGTATATATGGTAAGTAATGTATGATAAACTGAGTGTTTCGCAATCTATAGAAGGCTTAAGCTATTTTTGTTTTCTCTTTGCAGAATATGACTTTAGATAAGGAAAAGCATCAATAATACTTTAGAAAAACAAATTTAGCCCAATGAACTACTGAATTGTTTTCTCTTTTCAAGGTTGGATGTACTGGAAAAGTCATAGGAATTGATCACATTAAAGAGCTAGTAGATGACTCAATAAATAATGTCAGGAAGGACGATCCAACACTTCTGTCTTCAGGGAGAGTACAGCTTGTTGGTGAGTATCAGAAAACTTTAAAAATTTCTTCAGAGGATTTTTATTTTCAGACGATCCAATGCAAGCTAAATAATACTCAGATATAATTATTGTATTTTTTTTACAATCACTTTTAAGTACTAAAAAATAAATACGATTCTTTTTGCTCCCCTAGTGAGTATTTTGCAGTCATCTCTTTGTAAGTTTAATTTTGTATTTTCCTATTAACCTATGAGATTGAATTTTTTGTAATGTGTTTGGCCATTTGGATTTTGTCTTTTGTGAAGTGCCTGTTCAGATACTGGATTGCTTGTATTTTTGACTTATAGGGCTTCTAGCCCTTTATATATATAAATACATTTCTTCTCCCATCTGGGGTGTGCCTTTTCATCTTACTGGTACCCTTTTGATAATAGAAATTCTTAATTTTAATGTACTCAGACTTTCCAATTTTTTTCAGTGCTTTCTGTGTCCTTTTTAAGGATAGTCTGAGGCCATGAAGATATGTCTCTTATTATTTCTTAGAACCTTTATCATTTTTAGCTTTTCATGTTTAGGTCTTTGATCTTCCTGATGTTGGTTTTTGTGTATGTATGAGGTAAAGGTACAGTTACATGTTTTTGTATAGGAATATCCAGTTGTCTTCCCCAGACACACTCAGTTCTATATAAAAAATAAAATACTGACCAGGAGCTGTGGCTCACACCTGTAATCCCAGCACTTTGGGAGGCTGAGGTGGGCAGATCAGGAGGTCAGGAGTTTGAGACCAGCCTGACCAACATGGTGAAACTCCGTCTCTACCAGAAATACAAAAATTAGGTGGGTGTGGTGACACATGCCTGTAGTCCCAGCTAGCTACTCAGGAGACTGAGGCAGGAGAATTGCTTGAACCCGAGAGGCAGAGGTTGCAGTGAGCTGAGATTACGCCACTGAACTCCAGCCTGGCGACAGAGCGAGACTCCGTCTCAAAAAAAATAAAAAATAAAAAATAAAAATAAATAAAATAAAGGCCCGGGCAGCTCTAGTAGCCACAGCCGCCTGAGTGGCTGCCTCCATAGCCACTTCTAGAGGGATGTGGCTGAGGAGGAAGTGGAGGTGTTGCTAGCCTTGGCCTTTGCCCTGATCCTCTGTGGACACTGAAAGGGGAATACAGGAGTAAACCACACCAAAATGAGTCTCATGTTGCCAGTGAGAGACATGAGAGATCAAGAGATAGACGAAGGTCAAGTGACAGATCATGGGGTTCATCTCATGAAGGAACAGCGTCTCAATTCACTTCTTGTATTAGAAATGTTACTTCTCCGGCTGGACGTGGTGGCTCATGCCTGTAATCCCAGCACTTTGGGAGGCCGAGGCGGGCGGATTACCTGAGCACAGTTCCTCTTGTCCAAGCAGTCCTTGTTCTCCAAAAGCCTCCCCACATGGTTCCATTAGCAGTGCTGGGAACAGCATTAGAAACAGTAGTCAGTCAAGTTTAGATAATAGCTGTTAAGATATCTGGGGAGATGGTGTTTGTATTTGAGAATGCAAAAGAAGGAGCTCGGAATATAAGAACATCTGAACGAATAGCACCAATAGTGAGTAACACTAGATTTGTTGTAGACCCATATGTTTCTCCTGCAGAACCAAATACAGTGTTGGGCAGGATGTTTGTTTGGATCTGGCCAAGAACATAACTTTACACAACCCAATGAGAAAGGAGAGTATGAAGTAGCAGAGGGAATTGGTTCCACTGTGTTTCAATCTATTCTGGATTACTATAAAATAGGAATTACCTGTTGTCCTGATGGTGTAACTGTTCCTGAATTGAGAGAAGCATGGGACTATCTTGTATCGCTTTTGAATGTAGTACTATTAAGGTACTATATATTAAGTTAACTTAAATAGGTGCTTCTGCCAAAGTATTCCTCCAGTAAAATTCATGTAGTTTGCTGCCCATAAGGAGTAAAAATTATTTATCTTGGGTTTATTTGAATGATTAGGATGAGATTTAAAACAGAACTTATGAGTTCCGTTATCTCCAGTGCGTTTCACCCTTTAGAGTGAGTCACGTGCAGGGAGTGTGAACGACAGAGGTGGTTTATTATCCAGTCTGCCTTATCCTTAATCTGTTCACAGATATTTATTTACTAATGCTTTTGTTCTTAAGAGTTGTGGGATACAGGTTCATGCCTGTAAACCTAGCACTTTGGGAGGCTGAGTTGGGTGCATCACCTGAGGTTAGGAGTTCATGAAAAAGAGTTGCGAGATAGGAAAATGAAGTGCTTTTCGTTTACTAAATGATTGTAAACTCCAGTTTTTCATCAAAATCAAATTCCATTGTTTTAATGTTTCTGACCAAACAAAAAATAAAATAAAATGAGTTAAAAACAGCAAAAAAGTGAGTATCCAGTTGTCCCAGGATTATTTATTGAAAAATCTATCCTTTCTCCATTGTAAACCTCCTGTACTAGAATTCTTCACATTAAGTTTGATCTGAACAGGTTTTTAAAGCATAGCTGTTTTTCTTTCAGTGGGGGATGGAAGAATGGGATATGCTGAAGAAGCCCCTTATGACGCCATTCATGTAGGAGCTGCAGCCCCCGTTGTACCCCAGGCGGTGAGTCGGGATTTTTTTCTGTTTGTGTGTTTTATTCAACTAAAACTCTACAAGACTTAAATAGAAAAGACTTCTAGATGATGTTTAAAATATAATTAGATTTTCGTATCATACATTTTGGTTACAATTAGCTATTACTCTTTTCTTTTTTCATATGCAAACAATTGTATAAATGACATGAAAATTACTAAACCCCAGCTTGTGGCGCTCATATTTGATCCAGGTAAGAACTAGGACAACAGTAGAATTGGGAAAATCCCTTTGGAGTTTATGACCTGATAATCAGTTTGAATTTTTTTTTTTTTTTTTTTTTTTTTGAGGTGGAGATTTGCTCTTGTCGCCCAGGCTGGAGTGCAGTGGCGCAATTTCAGCTCACTGCAACCTCCACTTCCTGGGTTCAAGTGATTCTCCTGCCTCAGCCTCCCGAATAGCTGGGATTACAGGCGCCTGCCACCACGTCCAGCTAATTTTTGTATTCTTAGTAGAGACAGGGTTTCACCATGTTGGCCAGGCTGGTCTCGAACTCCTGACCTCGGGTGATCTGCCCACCTCAACCTCCCAAAGTGCTGGGATTACAGGCGTGAGCCACTGCGCCCGGCCAGTTTGATGTTTTTTAAATACCATAATATGTACGGCTGTATTTGGTGTATGGGAGATATGAGAAAGTATTTGCCATACATTGTATTCTCACAAAGCTTGTATTCTAGAAGAGATATGTCATATATGTAACCAGGAAATTAGCAATATGATAGCATATAATTAACACATGATATCTATTGGAAGGAAAATAAAATATGCATATGAGGGAGAGAATTGTGCAGTGAGTGGTCAAGGAGACATCACATAGGGATGGAACTTGAACTGAATCTTAAAGAATAGTAGGATATATGGCCAGGCATGATGGCTCATGCCTGTAACCCCAGCACCTTGGGAGGCCAAGGTGGGAGGATTGCTTGAGCCTAGGAGTTTGAGACCAGTCTGAGTAACATGGCAAGACCCTGTTTAAAAGAAAAAAAATTAGCCAGGCATGGTCGCGCATATGCCTGTAGCCCCAGTTACTCTGGAGGCTGAGGTGGGAAAATTGCTTGAGCCCAAGTGGTTGAGGCTGCATTGAGCCATGTTTGTGCTGTGGCACTCTAGCCTGTGGTCCTAGATTTCTGTTACACATGCCTCTTGCGTAGTTCTTGACTAGATGACCAGGGGATGAAGGTGACACTGTTTCTTCTGCCTAGTCTCATCTGGTTTTTTTGTAGGCTTAGATCAGTTATGGGAAGCTGAAAGTTGGATAATTTGTTCTGGTCATTGGCCTGCTGCTTATTGGCCAAGTGACTGGGAAAATCACTTAATTGCTTTGGCCCTGTTGATTATCTGTTTTTTGTTTTGTTTTGTTTTGTTGTTGTTGTTGTTTTTAAAGTAGCTCACGCCTGTAATCCCAGCACTTTGGGAGGCTAAGGCAGATGAATCACTTGCGCTCAGAAGTTCGAGACCAGCCTTGGCAGCATGGCAAAATCCCATCTCTACAAAAAATACAAAAATTAGATGTGGCAGGCACTTGTAGTCCCAGCTACTCAAGAGGCTGAGGTGGGACGATAGCTTGGATTGCCTGAGCCTGAGAGGTTGAGGCTGCAGTGAGCCATGCTTGCACTACTGCATTCCAGCCTGGGTGACAAAGTGAGACCCTGTCTCAAAAAAAAAAAAAAAAAAAGGTAGATTGAACCAGTGGTTTTAACACATTTTAACTGAAGTATTAATATAATACAGAAAATTTTACAAGTCATAAACAAACAGCTCAATTGAATTTGAACACATGACCAATGAGTTTTTAACTTTTCAAAAAAAAAATATTGACAACCTAGAGTGAACAGTTAAAACCTGAAATAGAACTGTGCTTAAATGAGGGGAGTGGGTGCAGGGCCCATTTCTCCCTACTGGGACCCTGAGGTGATCTTGAAAGATATTTCTAGATCTAATTAAATTGAATTTAAATATTGGAGTAATACTTGCAAGTATTATAGGGGTATGTATACATCTGATTTAAGATAGATGTACTGAAGCGGCTTTCCAGTTTTAAGATAGCAGAATGAAGAGGTTTATGCCTTCTCTTGGATATCACCCCAAGATAGCCAGAAAAACAGAAGCATAAACTCCATACTCAATTAACTAGGAGACGATACCTGCAATCCTGAACTCTACAGTGTGTGAAGATAGAAAGCAGATGGAATAATAGCTGACCCAGGAGGGTGGAGGAAATGGAAACTAAAGAGACTACAGAGTGAAATATTATGCATACGCAGTTTGCTCTGCAAAACTCTGAAAAGGCTTAGGAATTGGTGGCATCAAGACCTTGAAAATCATAGGTAAAGCATGGGTCTGAAAAGAGGGAGTGCTGCTTGAAACTCCGCATGAGGAATAATCAGCACTAATCCCTAAGTAAGAAATTTTCTAAAAACCGATGGACATAATTCTATAGTTTGCAACTGAGTGCCTAACACAAAGAATTTTTAAAATAAGAAAAAAGAACCATATCATGTATATTCAGAATATTAGGGGATAAAGAGAAGATTCTGAAAGCCGCTAGAGGCCAGGTGCAGAGGCTCACACTTGTAATCTTGTCAGTTTGGGAGGCCAAGGAAGTAGGATCTCTTGAGGACCTGAGTTTGAGACCAGCCTGGGCAACATATCAAGACCCCATCTGTACAAAACAATTTAAAAATTAGCCAGATGTGGCAGCCTGTGCCTGTAGTCCCAGCTACGTGGGAGGCTGAGGTGGGAGGATTGCTTGTGCCTGGGAAGTTGAGATTTCAGTGAACCATAATTGCACCACTGTATTCCAGCCTAGGTGACAGAGCAAGACCCTGTCTCTAAAAATAAATAAATAAATAAATAAATGAAAGCTTCTAGAAAAATAAAACAGATCTCCTGTTAAGGACTGGTAATCAGAAAGGCATCAAACTGCAAACAGCGTTAGAATTTGTAAGTCAGAGTACCAAACCATTAAATTCTGAGCTGAAAATTATTTCCAACCTTGAATTATGTATGCACACACATCACCAAATAGATTAAAGATAGTTTTAGGTTTGCAAATCTCCATCTCTTTCTTTTAATACATTCCATGCACTATTTCACAAAATGCTTCCAAAGGAACTTTCTTAAATGATTAAGATGTCTTAAAATGTCTTAAAATTTAATGTCTTAAAATGCCATTTTTGTCATCCAAAAATGAAATGAGGGAAGAGACAGACAGTAGGAAAAACCAAAAGAGGAAACCACATAGGGCATCTTGATCAGGCAGAGGCATGGAAGTTTACGGGATTGTTACAAAGGGAAGGGCCTAGATGGAAGCTGTGCGGCAGGCCTGGAGAATAACCAGCTCAGATTTGGAGCAAGAGGAGGAAAGGAAACAATCATTGGATATTTCTTGACTCAGCAGCAAATCATAGTTACACAGTCATAACTAGAAATGATTTTAATAAAAAATGATTGGTTGGGGGAAGGAAGCAGAATGTAGATTAAGAGAGTTCAATCCTTATCTAGCTTATGTTTTGAAATATAAAGGTAAATACTAGAAGACATAGCTAAAATGATTTGAAATAACTGGATTTAGAGAGCAAGGGTGGGGTAGGGAGAGGAAGTCAGCTGTTTATCATTATAAGCCTTGAAATTGAGAAAAACAACAAAATAGATTTGCAGACAACCAAAATTTTGACTGAGGGCACCCTTTCTTGAGGTAATAAATACCCAAAGTAAGGTTTCTGGCTGGGTGTGGTGGCTCATGCCTGTAATCCCAGCACTTTAGGAGGCCAAGGCAGGCGGATCACTTGAGGTTAGGAGTTTGAAACCAGCCTGGCCAACATGTTGAAAGCCCGTCTCTACTAAAAATACAAAAAAAATTAGTCGGGCTCAGTGGTGGGCACCCCGTAATCCCAGCTACTTGGGAGGCTGAGGCATGAGAATCGCTTGAACCCGGGAGGCAGAGGTTGCAGTGAGCCGAGATCGTGCCACTGTACTCCAGCCTGGGTGACAGAGTGAGACTCATTCTCAAAACAACAAAAAACTACAACAAAAAACAAAACAAAAAGCCAAAGTAAGATTTCTTCTTTAATGTCTTTTTTTTTTTTTTTTTTGAGACGGAGTCTCGCTCTGTCACCCAGGCTGGAATGCAGTGGCCGGATCTCAGCTCACTGCAAGCTCCGCCTCCCGGGTTCACGCCATTCTCCTGCCTCAGCCTCCCGAGTAGCTGGGACTACAGGCGCCCGCCACCTCGCCCGGCTAGTTTTTTGTATTTTTTAGTAGAGACGGGGTTTCACCGTGTTAACCAGGATGGTCTCGATCTCCTGACCTCGTGATCCGCCCGTCTCGGCCTCCCAAAGTGCTGGGATTACAGGCTTGAGCCACCGCGCCCGGCCTAATGTCTTTTATTAATAGTGATCCATAAAGCTATATGAAAATGGTAACATGATTTAAAAGTTTTCTGACTGTAAGAACTTTCATTGAGTACTCTTGGTTCTTCATTGACAGGAGTGTCCTCATTGTAATGCTACAGGGATTCCAGCCCTACCTTCCCTCCTTATGGTACCAGTAAACCTGAATTTAATCATAACTAGGGTTCCCTTATCCCTTCAGTGATGCCCTAGATTCTACAATAATAGGATAGGGATTCCTTGTTGATTTTCTACACTTCCTCTCCCCCCCTCCTCCTCCCTTCGAATCCACAAAGGTTCCAAACAGGCACACAGGCATTAGAATTCTATGTTCTGCCTTTGGCCTGCCAAGAGGATAGTTCTATATTAGGTGGTTCAGTTCAAACATTTTGAGCACTGCAGTTGTACCAGGTACTGTGTTAGATGCTAAAGGCACAAAGATGAGTAAGACACAGTCCCCATCCTCAAGAGCTTGTAGTTTAGTAGAGGAGGCTGATAGTTGAGTAATAATATAACAATCAAAGTATGTACAGGGTGAGTATCCCTTATCCAAAATGCTTGGGACCAGAAGTGTTTTGGATTTTGGATTTTTTCAGATTTTTTCGCATTTTGGAATATTTGCATATACATAATGAGATATCTTGGGGATGGGGCCAAGTCTAAACAAAACTCATTTATGTTATAACTCTTATACACATAGTCTGAAGGTAATTTTATGTAATATTTCAAATAATTTTGTGCATGGAATAAAGTTGTGACTGCATTTTGACTGCGACTTGCCACATGAGGTCAGGTGTGAAATTATCTACTTGTGGTATCATGTTGATGTTCAGAGTTTTGGATTTTGGAGCATTTCCAGTTTTGGGTTTTCAGATTATTGATGTTCAATCTGTATATACTGTATATTTATTTTTAAGACGGAGTTTCGCTGTGTCACCCAGGCTGGAGTGTGGTGGCGTGATCTTGGCTAACTGCAGCCTCCGTCTCCGGGTTCAAGGAATTCTCCTGCCTCAGCCTCCTGAGTAGATAGGACTACAGGCATCCGACACCAAGCCTGGCTAATTTTTGTACTTTTTTAGAAGAGTTGGGGTTTCACTGTGTTGGCCAGGCTGGTCTTAAACTCCTGACCTCAAGTGATCTGCCCACCTTGGCCTCCCAAAGTGCTGGAATTACAGGCATGAGCCACCATGTCTGGCCTTAACCTGTATGTACTAAATGAAGAACATTTCTGCTTTCTGCCCATGGACACTAAAAGTTGTTTATAATGATGTCAAATGACTATTAGTATAAAATCTGGGCCAGGCACGGTACCTCACACCTGTAATCCAAGCACTTTGGGAGCTGGAGGTGGGTGGAGTACTTGAGGTCAGGAGTTTCAGACCAGTGTGGCCAATATGGTGAAACCCCGTCTCTGCTAAAAATACAAAAATTAGCAGGGCATGGTGGCATGTGCCTGTAGTCCCAGCTGCTTGGGAGACTGAGGCAGGAGAATCGCTTGAACCCAGGAGGCAGAGGTTGCAGTGAGCCGAGATCATGTCACTGCACTCCAGCCTGAGTGACAGAGTGAGACCCTGTCTCATACATAAATAAAACAAAATAAAATAAAATCTGTAGCTTGATGTGTATGTGCTTTTTTTTTTTTTCTTTTAGCTAATAGACCAGTTAAAGCCTGGAGGAAGATTGATATTGCCAGTTGGTCCTGCAGGTGGAAACCAAATGTTGGAGCAGTATGACAAGCTACAAGATGGCAGCGTCAAAATGAAGCCTCTGATGGGGGTGATATACGTGCCTTTAACAGATAAAGAAAAGCAGTGGTCCAGGTGGAAGTGATTTTATCTTCTGCTCTTTCTTCTTCCACACATGCAAGGTGAAAGGGTGTGGATTTTAAGACATTAGATTACAAGAGCTGTTTTGGTTGTCACCTTTATGCTCCTCCATTATAACATCAGAAATTCATTACATTAAAAATGTGAAAAATGTTGCATGGTCTGCCCTTATTTTGGTTTAACATATATATCTTTGGGAAAGGGAGGGTGAGACTTGGTTGGCACAAAGGCTTTTTTTTCTTTTTTTTTTTTTAAGAGACTTTCAGCTGCAATTCAGTACTTTGTAAGGATTTTTTATTCATTATCAGCCACTCTGTTTTTATATTTTTAAATTATTTTTATAGCACTGGATGGGCATGGAAACAATGAGTTTGGTCTGTAAAAGAGGCCAGGTGGAGTGGCTCATGCCTGTAATCCCAGCACTTTGGGAGGCCGAGGTGGGCAGATCATTTGAGGTCAGGAGTTTGAGACTAGCCTGGCCAACATGGTGAAACCCTGTCTCTATTAAAAATACAAAATCAGCTGGACGTTGGGGCGCAGGCCTGTAATCCCAGCTACTCAGGAGGCTGAGCCAGGAGAATCGCTTAAGCCCTGGAGGCAGAGGTTGCAGTGGGCCGAGATTTTGACACTGCTCTCCAGCCTGGGACACGGAGCGAGGCTCTGTCTCAAAACAAACAAACAAACAAACAAACAAACAAAAACAAGGGGCCATCATTTCCTGCCCTGTTTATTGTACCCACAAGGAGAAAGAAGGGGAAAGATAACAGTTGTCTCAATTTTCTAAAATGTCACAATACCAGAGAGGACATTCTACCTCTCAGCTTGGTTTATCTGTTTCAACCAAATCATAGATACCTGACAGCCCATATCTATTTTTCATTCAGCCCTGTTTAAGATTCACCTTCTCCCCATTCTATAGAATAGGCCAACCACTGTTTAAGCTATTCTGGCTAAATTCCTAGGGACAGGCAAGGATTATACAAGTTACCCAATGAGTGCCCAGGTCTCACAAACCCACCCAAAGGGTCAGCAGCATGCAGCAACTTTCAGCACAGCATGGCTTATAAAAAATGTCCACTTTTGTTTTATGTCTCAGCATAATCTGAGTATTTTGTTTGAAGCCAAGATTTCTCTTCTCTTTTCCTCTGCTTCCCACTCCCTTCCATGAGAGAGAGTGACATCAGTACATAACAGTGCCATTAGCCCAAATTACTTGAAATTAAATGCCAAAACAAGAAAGGCTTTACAGTTTCCTTGTCTTAGAATCTATTTTTATTTAACATAAAGATTCTTATTTTAAAATAATTATTTTCTTAATAAGTAAAAGGGGTGATAATAAGTTTAATAGATCTCTCAATTTTGTTTTTATTCTTCACCAATAGCTATTTTCTATGAATTATAGCCTGGAGCACAGCCACTGAAAAAAAAAAAAAGCATTTTAGGCCAGGCATTTTATGCCTGTAATCCCAGCACTTTGGAAGGCTGAGGCGAGCCAATCATCTTAAGTCAGGAGTTTGAGACCAGCCTGGCCAACATGGTGAAACCGTGTCTCTACTAAAAACACAAAAATTAGCCGAGCATGGTGGCTTACACCTGTAGTTTCAGACACTCAGGAGGCTGAGGCAGGAGAATCGCTTGAACCCAGGAGGCGGAGGTTGCAGTGAGTCGAGATTACACTGCTACATTCTAGCCTGGGCAACAGAGCAAGATTCTGTCTCAAAAAATAAATAAATAAATGAATAAAAATTAAAATTAAAAAGGCATTTAAAAAATTACTGGTTTTTTCAACTGGAATCAGATGTAGTTACTAACAACTAACTACAACCTTCCTTCACTTTGCTTCTAGTATGGTTTATACAATTACATAATTGTGAGATTATTATAGTATAAAAGGGGCAAATATGTTACTGAAATTTGATAAGAGTTGATTTTCATTAGAAACTTTGAAATTTTTCTTTTTATATACAATAAATATTAGTGAACATCTTGCCTATAACTTAATTATGAAGGAATTATAAAAAGGGAATTTTGTTTTTGTGACTAGTGGTAGATTTACTGTGAAGCTGACAAAGCTGAAGCTGCAGAGCCCTTGCTTGCCTAGGTTTTCTCTGACCCTGTTCTTAATTTAATTTAATTTAAAAAAAAAATTTTCTTAAGGCAGAGTCCTGCTCTGTTACCCAGGCTGTGTAGAGGAGTGGTGCAATCTCAGCTCACTACAACCTCCATCTCCCAGGTTCAAGCGATTCTCCTGCCTCAGCTTCCCGAGTAGGTGGGAGTAGAGGTGCACAGCTAATTTTTGTATTTTCAGTTGAGAAGGGGTTTTACCATGTTGACCAGGCTGGTCTTGAACTCCTGACCTCAGGTGATCTGCCCGCCTTGGCCTCCCAAAGTGCTGGGATTACAGGCGTCAGCCACCATGTCCGGCTCTGTTCTTAATTTTATATTAAGCATAGTCCTACTGTTTTTTTTTTTAACTTCATAAAAAGGTTCCCCTGCTCTCTAATTATATAAACCTTAGGCCGCCACAAAACCTAAATCTATCCTTGATAAAACCAAACTATTTGTATTAACAAATTTAAAATAGGGCCAGGTACGGTGGCTTATGCCTGTAATCCCAATGCTTTGGGAGGCTGAGGTGGGAGGATCACTTGAAGCCAGAAGTTCAAGACAAGCCTGGGAAACATAGTGAGACCTCATATCTACTAAAAATTTAAGAACTAGCCAGGCGTGGTGGTGTGCACCTCTAGTTCTGGCTACTTGGGAAGCTGAGATGAGAGGATCACTTAAGCCCAGAAGCAGCTGTGAGCTGTGATCACCACAGCATTCCAGGCTGGGCAACAGAGCAAGACCTTATCTCTAAAAAAAAATTTAGAATAATTTTTAAATTTATGGACAATTATTCAGTCATCTGCTAAACATTAAATGTATACTTGCTTTTAGGCTGGGTGCAGTGGCTCATGCCTGTAATCCCAGCACTTTGGGAGGCGGAGGCGGGCGGATCATGAGGTCAGGAGATCGAGACCATCCTGGGTAACACGGTGAAACCCCGTCTCTACTAAAAATACAAAAAAAATTAGCCGGGTGTGGTGGCAGGCACCTGTAGTCCCAGCTATTTGGGAGGCTGAGGCAGGAGAATGGCGTGAACCTGGGAGGCGGAGCTTGCAGTGAGCTGAGATCACGCCACTGCACTCCAGCCTGGGCAACAGAGCAAGACTCTGTCTCAAAAAAAATGTATACCTGGTTTTCTTTTTAACCTTCAAAGTTTTTTTAAAAATTGAGCAAATTTAGGCTGGGCACAGTGGCTCACGCCTGTAATCCCAGCACTTTGGGAGGCCGAGGCGGGCAGATCACGAGGTCAGGAGATCGAGACCATCCTGGCCAACATCATGAAAACCCATCTCTACTAAAAAATACAAAAATACAAAAATTAGCTGGGCGTGGTGGCGGGCACCTGTAATTCCAGCTACTCAGGAGGCTGAGGCAGGAGAATCGCTTGAACCCAGGAGGCGGAGGTTGCAGTGAGGCTACATTGTGCCACTGCACTCTAGCCTGGCAACAGAGCAAGACTCTGTCTCAAAAAGAAAAAAAGAAATCAAGCAAATTTACATGTTTGCAGCATCAGAAAAAAAAATTTTCTCCAGCTGTACCAAGAGGACTTTCCAATTTTTTCTGTTGTAGATTTTTAAAATCTCTTTGTTGAAATACATTTTCCTGTATCCAGAGATTGGTTCTAATTAAAAAGATGGTTGCTTGATTGTAATTCTTAAAGTTTAAATAATATAAATAAAGGTAAAATAAAATCTAGAAACTAAATTGGGAAAAAACCAAACTACCACATTAAAAAAAAAAAATTTGGCCTAAAAAATTACTGGAAAATAGGATGTTTTAGAGGGGACAACATCAATAGTTAACCTAAAATCTGAAGAGACCATTCATCTATAATATCTCTTTGTGTCGATAAACTTGTCAATCAGGATCCAGCCAGGAAACAGAAGGCGTACTCAGACAGGATTTTGAAATGATTTTAATGAAAGGACTTTTCAGAGAAATATGGGAAAGGTTATGGAAACAAATAAAGGAGGTTGTTATACCCAGGGATCAGGGACACCCAGGGTAATAGCAAGAAGCTTTTACCATTATAGACGTAAAGGGGAAGTAGCAGGAAACAACTGTACTGAAACCCATTGAGAACAGGGACAGCCAGGGTCAGGGGTGGAGGGCATGGGAGCTTGGGTCCTGACAGGAGCTGTAGTGAGAGAGGGAAGTGGCTACTACTAGGTCTCTGAGTCACCTTAGCTTTCTTATCTCCCCTCTCTGCTCTCTTACTGGGCATCACTTAGACCAGAAGTTGGAGGAAGGGGCCCTGTGGCAAACATGGTCTGAAATCAGACCACTACCTCCTTTCCCTTTCCCCTAAGTAGGTACCCATGCTTCTTTTAAAATTTAAGTCTGGAATAGATTTGAGGGTCCTCTAGTTTTTGTGTGCACTATTTCTGTTCTCTTTAGGCCAATGTAAGCTTACACTGTTCTTGACAGAAAAAAAAAGTGTATTTTAAATTGCCTTGGAAAAAGAAACATCTAATGCTTTTCTTTGGCCATTTGTTCAGTTGTTAAATATTTTTCAGCATGAGGATCTTAATATTATTTGTGAATTTAACCAATATGCATATGCCAACTAGGCCAGTTACTGTACTAGGTGCCAGGAGTCGTCAGCTGTGAATTTGAAACTGACTGCTCTCATGGAGCTTACAGTAATGTAGGAGATGCAAAGACCAAGATGAATAGGCAGTTATAGGGTAGTGTTCAGACTCACAGTAGGGAGCCAGGCAGTGAAGTGATCAGAATTACATTTCAGAAAGATAACTCCAGCTGTCGTGTAGAGAGTAGCCTGGGAAGGGACAAAAGTCGAGTCAGAAACAGGAAGTGGTTATAGCAATTCAGGAGTGAAATGGTGATGGTCTGCATTAAGGCAGTGTTAGTAAGGATAGAGAGAAGTGGGTAGATAGCTACAACTAAAAAACTGTCACTGTTTTCTGGGAATTATCATCTAAAAAGTTCCCTAGTCAACTTCTTGCCAGGCTACATGATTTCTGTTCTTTCAAACTTTGTTTTTGTTTTTGTTTTGTTTTATTTTGTTTTGTTTTGATACAGTCTCTCTCTGTCACCCAGGTTGGAGTGCAGTAGCATGATCTCTGCTCACTGCAGCCTCAACCTCCTGGGCTCAAGCGACCCCCCTGCCTCAGCCTCCTGAGTAGCTGGGACCACAGGGCATGTCACCATACTCAGCTGATTTTCTTGTTTTTTTTTTTTTTTTTGTAGACAAGGGGTTTTGCCATGTTGCCTAGGCTGGTCTCGGACTCCTGAGCTCAAGCATTCCACCCACCTCAGCCTCCCAAAGTGCTGGGATTATAGGCTTGAGCCACCAGCCTCAAACTTTCTTCAGGATTACTTTAACTCATTAAATACTTTCCTAGGAACCTTCTCTTGTGTCTCACCAGCTTTCCACCTTTCTTACTGAGGAATCCAGAGCTAATTGTAGTGCTCTGATGAGGATGAGATCCCATTTTTGCTGAGGAGATGTGACAGAAACTGTATTTTTAAAAATGAGAATTAGTGGACATGCAGAATTCTAGTACCAAGTAAAGATCCAAACTTGAATGTAGACTTGAGTCTTTTTACACTTGGAAAGATGTCACTTGTAATTTCGGTGGATTAATAGAAGGGGAGACAATGCCAGATCTATAGGCCAGACACCTAGAATCTGTGGAATTGTGTTCATGACTATGGATATGTAATAGTTGTATTAGTTGCTACAGAAAGTTAATAGTTCTTAAGTATGTATTTTATTTTAAATAAATATATTTATATGTAAAAATATTTTGTTAATTTTCTGGTAAAAGCTTTATTTTTACTTTTATGTATTTATATATATTTTTGAGACAGAGTCTCACTCTGTCGCCCAGGCTGCAGTACAGTGGTGCGATCTCAGCTCACTGCAGCCTCCGCCTCCTGGGTTCAAGTGATTCTCCTGCCTCAGCCTCCCGCATAGCTGGGACTACAGGCACCCACCACAACACCCGGCTAATTTTTGTATTTTTAGTAAAGACAGGGTTTCACTGTGTTGACCAGGCTGGTCTCAAACTCCTGACATCAAGTGATCCGCCCGCCTCAGCCTCCCAAAGTGCTGGGATTACAGGTGTGAGCTATCACACCCAGACTATTTTTGTTTTTAATAGTCACAAGAGTTAGTGTAATTGGTCCATCTTTGGTTTGTGAAACTGAGGAATGTTCAAGTTTATTATTCCATAAGCTCTTTGTTTATTGATATCTTCTTAAAGTGCCTTGCATCTGTGAAAAAGATGTTAGGAATTGACTGCATTTCCAAGATTGACAGTATTGGTGCTAAGGGATCCAATTAATCCTGTGTTCCATATTCTATATTGTTCCTTTTTAATCTCTTTACATATGTTCCAGTATTGTGACATACATTGCGTCCTTAAAAGAAGGGATATATTTCTGTTACTTTTGGAATTCTTTTTGTCTCTCATAATGCTTCATACAAAGCAAATTGTACAACACTTTTATTACCTTGGAAGATCCATGAAATTATTAGAAAACATTCATGGATTCTGATTATTGTTTCCTTATAGTATATCTTTTCATTTATTATTGGTAAAGAATGTATAAGACTAAATGTTAGTATCATAGAGTTATTAAAATCTAATAATTAAATTATGTATAATTATATACTAGTAGAAATATATAGTTATTAACCTAATGAATATATTTAGCATAGTATATAGCAATTTTAAAGAGCCTTTCTAAAAATTTAGTACACGCTATTTTTTATTGTGAATGATCTTTGCATGTAAGTCAGATAAAGAAATGGTCATATAGAATTTGGAACATTGGGAAAAATTTAATAACTTGAAAGTTACATGGATTTAGAGTAATAGGCTTTTACAAGATTGTGCATGCGCTGGCAGCAAATTTTTGTTTTTCCCTAGAACCCCTTATTTTAAAATTCAGGTCTACAAACCTAATTTCCTTTTTTAAAGTATTTTTTACATGGAGAGGATAGTTGGGAAAATGGTACTGTGTTGTTGAGGGGGCATGAATTTATTTACAGTATACTTAATGTCTTGCAGGAGGTAAATTGTAAATTATTATTATTATTATTATTATTGTTTTCTGAGATGGAGTCTCACTCTGTCACCCAGGCTGGAGTGCAGTGGCGCGTTCTCAGCTCACTGCAACCTCCGCCTCCCTGGTTCAAGCAATTCTCCTGCCTCAGCTTCCCAAGTAGCTAGGATTACAGGTGCATGCCACCATGCCTGGCTAATTGTATTTTTAGTAGAGATGAAGTTTCACCATGTTAGCCAGGATGGTCTCAATCTCCTGACCTCATGATCCGCCCGCCTCGGCCTCCCAAAGTGCTGGGATTACAGGTGTGAGTCACCGCCCCCGGCCAAATTGTAGTAAATTATTTAAAAATAACAGTATCTTTGGCTTGGGTATGGTGGCTCACACCTGTAATCCCGCACTTTGGGAGGCTGAGGCAGGCGGATCACTTGAGGTCAGGAGTTTGAGACCAGCCTGGCCAACATGGTGAAACCCTGTCTCTACTAAAACTACAAAAAAAAAAAAATTTAGCTGTGTGTGGTGGTGCCTGCCTGTAATCCCAGCTACTTCGAAGGCTGAGGCAGGAGAATTACTGGAACCAGGGAGGCGGAGGTTGCAGTGAGCTGAGATCGCACCACTGCACTCCAGCCTGGGCGACAGAGCAAGACTTCATCTCAGAAAAAAAAAAAAGAAAGAAAGAAAAAGTCAAAACAAGAAAAACAATCTCTTCAATTCATATTCTAAAAAGCACAAGTGAATTTTAGTTTATGAATAGAGCACTTTGCAGGTAATTCTTTGTAGATGAAATATTTTAACGCCTGCATGAGTTTAAGTAAAAGCTGTTCTATGAGAATTATAATATTGTTATTTGGTAGAATATAGTAAGAGGAAGCAGACTTATAATTTGTCATTTAATAGATAATCCAATACTGTAGGATAAAGGCAGCTTATTGGAGAAATAATTTTTAAAATATTTTCTTGCACAATTTATAAAATTTAGTTTTAAAAAATTGTCCAGTAATTTACCCCCACTTACTTGTGAAATATGAGCTCTTTATTTCTTCTTCCCTTCAAATTTAACAACTTTTTCAAAACTTTTACCTTTAATTTTTATTGCAGACAAGTTGCTAGGATAGTACAAATAACTCCTAAATCTCTTCATCCAGAGTCATCAATTACTATCATTTTTCTACATTTCTTTCCCCTCTTTCTATATATACATATATATAATTTTTTTCCTTTTTCTTAAACTACTTGAGACTTAATTATCAATATCTTGCTTCTTTACCCCTAAAGTTCTTGTTTTTTCACTCAGATTACCTTCAGCTATGAGGCTTGTGGGCTTTTCTCGTAGTTTTATTCATTTTTTCACTTTTAACAGTTTTACTGAGGTATAATTGAGATACCATACAGTTTATTTTAGACTGCATTTTTATTCCTTCCTTCCTCTCACTGGCAGTTGCTGGTACAGTGCTGCACCTGGCTGAGCGAATGGTTTCTTTTGGAGCTGATAAAGCTGCCTTATGAAATCAGCTGACAGGTATATTATACCTACAGATGATGCCTTTTCTCTCAGAGAGCTTAGGTGGAGATTGACCCACTCCACAATTGCTAATGGACATTCTGAGCAAAAGACCACATTTTTGTCCAATTTTGTGAATGTAACTATTAACTCATTTGAACTCTAAAACACTTAAGTTGTCATTTTACTATAGTATAAAGATGAACATAGGTCTAAAAGATAATTTTTCTGAATTTTGACATTGAAGGAAGATATCTATTTTTAGAAATAAAAAAGAACTCACGCCCTTGAGGTTGCATACTTCATTCTGGAGTGGCATGGAAGATGTTTGGAATGGCTGACCCTCTGTTGCTTTCACTTGGATTGTTTGCTTTTTTATCTTTTAAATATGTTGCTTGGTGATCAGTGCATTTTTATTGACTTAATAGTTGTATCTAAACTATTATAAAGTCAAATTGGGCAGTGTGTAACTCCTACTAATGTATTTCTCTCTTTTATCCTCACAGGGATGAATTGTAAAAGCAACATCAGCTTGACCAGTATAAAATTACAGTGGATTGCTCATCTCAGTCCTCAAAGCTTTTTGAAAACCAACACCATCACAGCTTGTTTTGGACTTTGTTACACTGTTATTTTCAGCATGAAAATGTGTGTTTTTTTTAGGGTTTCTGATTCTTCAAAGAGGCACAGAGCCAAATTGGTAGAGGAAGGATACAGAGTATAAATTTGTGTAATATTACTTTAACATGCCTATATTTTACTTGGAAATATTAAAAGAAAGGGTTCTGAAAAATGGAAAACTTAGTTTGTCAATTGATTTTGAGGAGTGGTTTTTATTTTCTTGGACACTTAATTCTGTTCTGATATTAATTTATCAGATTGCTTTTGTGCATTGGATAACACCACCATTCACAAGTTAAGATTCTTGGTATTTGGATGTCTGTTAGATGCTACTAAGAAAATAGAGATGAGCTTTCTTTTTAAAGCTTTTGATGTGGTGTCATAGAATAGCATGTTGTAGATACAATCAGCTGCTTTGTTACCTTAAAACTAGGCATTTGTAAATATTAAACCTTAAGATGGCAGGTGATGTCCTGTAAACACTCAGCTGTTCAGATTGGACATAACTGACTTAGTTCTTCCCTTCTCTCTCTCAAAATTATAGGAGACTTGTAGTTTAGTGTTGTTTTCTGTTACTAATGTGCTGCTGATAATGTACATGAACTTAACATGCTGTGTAAGCTGTGTCCCAGTTCTTGAACAGTTTATGCAGTGCTGCTTTGCCAAATAAAGTTAAAAGCAAAAGAGGCATTGGTTGTTTTTGAATATAGAAGAAAGAACAGCAAATCCACCAGATAGGGAGTGTTTATGATCACAGGAAAAAAACTATTTCTCTGGTTGTTTCCTTTTGCGAAGTCTGAGTAAGTAAATAGCATTAATCCAACTGTACGTTGCAGAATGTGACTACATTGCAGAATGTGACTACACTGCTCCAGGGCCAGGACTGTACTTCAGTCGTCATTTCTCTTTGACTCCCTAGCCCAGGGCTTGTCTTGTAGTAGCTATACAATAAATGCTGATGAGTGAGTGGTGAATGAATTGACTTAAAGTCAGGAAAGAACAGGATTGAGGATGAACAGACCAAAACCCATCTCTCACCTATAAATACATTTATTAATACGATGACTATAGCTGAATTTCTAAGAAGGCAGTAGCACTTTGGGATCTTATTTAAATGTTATGATTTATAACTTTTATAATAAGATGTTAGTTTTTCTAGGAGTTCTAGAACTGAGGAAATATAAGCTCCAGAATGAGCAGAATCAGCACTCCCAGCAAAGCCCTTCTACTGGGTGCATGTGTGTAATTCTGGCAAAGAACCTTTGTGGCCATGTGAGACACTCCCCCGAGCTCTTGAAAAAAGTCTTGTATATTACTTCTTTACAAATGGCTTTTAGGCTGGGTGCAGTGGCTCACGCCTGTAATCCCGGCAGTTTTGGGAGGCCGAGATGGGTGGATCACCTGAGGTCAGGAGTTCAAGACCAGCCTGGCCAACATGGTGAAACCCCCTCTCTATTAAAAATACAAAAATTAGCCGGGCATGGTGGCACACACCTGTAATCCCAGCTAGTAGGGAGGCTGAGACAGGAGAATTGCTTGAACTGGGGAGGCGGAGGTTGCAGTGAGCCGAGATCATGCCATTGCACTCCAGCCTGGGTGACGAGTGAAACTCCATCTCAATAAATAAATAAATAAATAAAATGGCTTTTAAAAATTGTGCATACATCTTTTCACAAGTGCCTCTTCTTGGCTAAGGTCTTAGACACAGGAAACTAGCATTATTTGGTGCCCATAACTTGAGAGTTTGTTTATGGTTGGCTTCAGTTTGCTGCTGTTTATTGCTTCCATACTCAGGCCGTGAACTCCTGTGGTCCAAGACTAGTCCATTTGAAATAGTTGTAAAGGTCTAATTTCTTTACAACTTAAATTCTTAAATGTATCCACTGATCTGCGTCTTTCATAGCCATTACCAACATTTTACTATATGTGAGTCTCTATGTTTGGTTTTGGGGATAGAAAAAGGCCCCTACTCTCAAGAGTGAAGTCTGTTTGAGGAGACAATTATGTAAATATGATAAGACAAACTTAAATGCCACCTGATTAGTACAGACAGTGCTATGCCTTCAGCATTGTTCAAGCACTGCTCTTGGACTTTACATGTTTATAAATTAAAATTGTAGAATGTTGAATAAACAAGAATGGGCTTTAAGGAGCATGAATAAATGGGTAGAAATGGAAATAATGGATTTTAGCTAGGCCTAAGAGTTTTTTTTTCTGTAAGATATATATATGTGTGTGTGTGTGTATGTGTGTGTGTGTAGGTAGTCTCCTTTATCTTTAGTATTCATAATTTCTAAAACATTTCCTTATGTCATTTTCCTTAGTAGAAGTGATTCCTTTACATAATATGAAGGGCAACAATGAAAACATTTCAAAAAGTTTCGGTCTAGTGAGATCCTGTTGAAATGAGATTTTTTTCTATAGATTTGGTTTTATTAAAGGCCAAATCAAACTCTCAAAATTTATGTAATCTTGTCCAAGCATGGTGGCTCAAACCTGTAATCTCAGCACTTTGGGAGGCCAAGGGAGGAGGATTGCTTGAGGCCAGGAGTTCAAGACAAGCTTGAGCAACAGAGTGAGATCTTGTCTCTACAAAAAATAAAAATTATCCAGGCATGGAGATGTGTTCCTGTAGTCCCAGCTACTTGGGAGGCTAATGCAGGAGAATTGCTCGAGCCCAGGAGTTCGAGGCTGTAGTGAGCAAAGCTATAGTGAGCTATGATTGTGCCACTGCACTCCAGCCTGGGCAACAGAGTAAGACTCAGTCTCTCCCTCTCTTTTTTAAAAAATCTTTCCTACACCCTTCTAGTAGAAACCTAAGAACCCTATCTCTTAAAATAAACACCACTAATAAAATCTAAGCCTGAATTATGAATATCAGCTTTTTATTGAGGGTTTCTTTCTTTTGAGTGTGATGATGCGATCTCAGTTCACTGCAACCTCCGCCTCCGGGGTTCAAGCAATTCTTAAATGTAACCACTGCCTCCCAAGTAGCTGAGGTTACAGGCATGCACCACCACACCCAGCTAATTTTGTACTTTTTTAGTAGAGATGGGATTTCACCATGTTGGTCAGGTTGGTGTCGAACTCCTGACCTCAAGTGATCCACCTGCCTTGGCCTCCCAAAGTGCTGGGATTACAGGTGTGAGCCACCGCACCCGGCCGAGAGTTTCAACTCTTTTCTAGTCAATAACATTAGAAGAAAATGACATTCTGGGGGGAAAATAATCCATAACATTGTTCATGCAAGTATTTTAAATTCCACTGCCCTAATTTTAAAAAGTGCCATTTTTCAAAAACAGTTCACTGAACTTTTTTTTTTTTTTTTTTTGGGGGGACAGATCCTCACTCCATCACCCAGGCTGGAGTGCAGTGGTGTGATCTCAGCTCACTGCAACCTCCGCCTCCCGGGTTCAAGCGATTCTCCTGCCTCAGCCTCCCAAGTAGTTGGGACTACAGGCGTGTGTCACCACGCCCAGCTAATTTTTTGTATTTTTAATAGAGACGGGGTTTCACTGTGTTAGCCAAGATGGTCTCCATCTCCTGACCTTGGGATCTACCTGCCTTGGCCTCCCAAAGTGTTGAGATTACAGGTGTGAGCCACTGTGCCTGGCCCACTGAACTTTTAAAATTGGTGTATAATGTACCTGTATTAAAGCATCCTAAAAATTCAATTGATCTAAAATAGAATAACATTTTTGAGTGATAATGCTCACAAATTATTTGAAGCTATTCTTGGTCATTGTCAGCCAGGAAACAAAGCTGCTTAATTTTGTTTCATTAGCCAGGTGGGTATTTTTGGTTTTCAGTTAAATGTTAACAAATTTTTAGTAGTTTGATACGTTACTAAAATATATGAGTGAGTATGGTAACTGAACACTAATATTGTAAATGAAATAAATGGATTATTTTTAGTGTTCTAAATGGGGTTCAGAGGCTCATACCTTATTTTAGGTAAGTGCTAAAATTCTTCTAGGTATAAATCATTTCCTGCAACTTATTGTGTTCTTAAAGAACTGAACAGTAAAACAAATGGGTTCTGATTGGATTTCAGTTGGATCTCTGGATTCCTCTGACCATTTTCCGGAAAGATAAGTGTTGTGTTCTCACTGAACCTAGCACCTGGCTCAAATAGAGGGCTGCTGAAAGAATCCCACTTGAAGAAAACCAGCTGACCCAAGGAGCCAAGAAATGTTTGTGTATTGTAATATGATAAAAAGGAAATCAGGCCGGGCGCAGTGGCTCACCCCTTTAATCCCAGCAATTTGGGAGGCTGAGGTGGGTGGATCACCTGAGGTTAGGAGTTTGAGACCAGCCTGACCAACATGGCAAAACCCCATCTCTACTAAAAATACAAAATTAGCTGGGTGTGGTGGGGTGTGCCTGTAATCCCAGCTACTTGGGAGGTTGAGACAGGAGAATGACTTGAACCCAGGAGGCAGAGGTTGCAGTGAGCCGAGATCACGCCACTGCACTCCAGCCTGGGCGACACAGCCAGACTCCGTCTTAAATAAAAAGGGAATCAAGTCCAATAATTTCCTTATCCTTAATCCTTCTAATATCGTTGCTACAATAATGGTTGTTGGTTCCCCACTTCTGGCTTCATCTTTTTGGCTTTTTCTTTCCTTCTTTTTTTTTTTTTTTTTTTTTTTTTGAGACAGAGTTTCTCACTCTTTCTCTAGGCTGGAGTGCAGTGGTGCAATCTTGGCTCACTGCAACCTCTGCCTCCCAGGATCAAGTGATTCTCCTGCCTCGGCCTCCTGGGTAGCTTGGACTACAGGCGTGCGCCACCATGCCCAGCTAATGTTTGTATTTTTAGTAGAGACAGGGTTTCACCATGTTGGCCAGGATGGTCTTGATCTCTTGACCTCGCGATCCTCCTGCCTCAGCCTCCCAAAGTGCTGGGATTACAGGCGTGAGCCACCGCACCTGGCCCTTTTTTTTTTTTTTTTTTTTTTTTTTGAGATGGAGTCTTGCTCTGTTCCCCATGCTGGAGTGCAGTGGCATGATCTCAGCTCACTGCAACCTCCACCTCCTTGGTTCAAGTGATACTCCCACCTCAGCCTCCCGATTAGCTGGGCTTTACGGGTATGCTACCACGCCTGGCTAATTTTTGTATTTTTAGTAGAGACAGGATTTCACCATGTCGGCCAGGATGGTCTCAAACTCCTGACCTCAGGTGATCTGCCCACCTGGGCCTCTCCAAGTCTTGGGATTACAGGCATGAGCCACTGCACCTGGCCCAATTTCCCTAAGCTATTTTTGTAAAAGTAACATTATTTTTGTATTAAAATATTTTGAGAAGTTTCCTAAATTTTGAAATAACTTCATAAAAGGATTTAAGCTGAATAGTAAGTTGATCTCTTTCCAATTTGCAGGGTGATGACATAACAAGATTTTAAAAATGTGATTTGAGAATTGAAATAATTAGGAAGGAAGATCTGCTTAGACCTAAATATGGGAAATATAGGAGAAGGCTCAGTTCTAACCCGTCAATTCCCAAAAACATTCAGCTTTGGGATGTCTAACTTTATTTTTGTCCTTGGTGGTTTCCTATTTAGCTGGACAATCTGTGTTTATCCACTAAAGTAGCTATAACTTAAAATATTCATTTTATTTTTAGAATACTAGAATCCAGTAGGTTGGAAAATGGGGACAGGAACAGAAAAGTCCGCAACACAGATGCTT